TTGACGTTGACATTCTGTGACTTTTCAGAAGCTTCGCGGCACATGTTGGCCAGATTGGAGGTGTGCTTGGCTACTACCGTAGCATCCTGAATCAAATATACTTGTTTGAATTTCGCGGATGGTAAAAAGGGCGGGAAGGAGGAAAACGTACGTCAATTATCTGCTCCTGAGTGTAGTTCTGCTGTTCGATACGTTCACAAACTTGACGCACAAGCATTCCGCTACGTCGGACACGACTTGCGTCAATGATGGCGGTTTCACCTCGGACACTTTTCGGGTGCGAAATCCCGATCAAGTAAGCTGCTTGAGATGCGGACTCGGCTAGGGAGCATACAGCATCGGCGGATTGTCTAGAACAAACAGTACAGACATAATGCTGACGGTAGGTATACTGTAGGATGGTGGGTATAGGCTAGTATACGGTAAATACACGGTAGACTGCGAGCTTACCTGACGCTAGTGCAGAGTGCTCGAGTATCCATAGCCTTAGCATTACGAGCTATGCCAGTCATAGATTCGCCCAAATGTCGTGACTGCTCAGTGATAGTATCGAGGCATCCAAAGTACGAGTTCGTGTTTACCGGTACATTCGCGTGTTCGGTTAGGTGGCGAATACCCTAAAAATACCTCCTTTACCTAGCTCACCCAGCTGGTATGTAGGCAACAAACCTGGATCTGCCTGAGTGCAGCATCACACTCCCTCTGCCATGGCTGTTCCACTCCGACCTGCTCAACGATTTCATTAACCGTCTCGATGAGCTTCCTCGATGACTGCGACAAAGTATTCGTCTGCGTAATATCGCTCGAAGCAGCGCTGGCATGCGACAGAAGCGTAACCGCCTCGTCCCTTGCCAACTCCAAATTGTCAATAGTCCTTCGTCTAGAATCCATGTCAGGTAGGCTCTTGACAGAAGCGATGACAGCTGCATGGAAGTCGGTGTATGTGGACACAAAGGCATCAACGGCTTCTTGGTTGTTCGGTTGACGAACGGCGACAAGGAGCTGCGATGTCGCGTCGACAAGTCGTGAAGCAGCGACACGGACGTCGGGTTCACGAACGGTCGTGGAAACACCGATGGTTCGAATTTGAGAGATGGCTTTTTCGATGGCTTGATTGTCAGGAAGGCAAGCGATCACTTGGCGGAGGCTGGTTGACACCTTAAATAAGAAAAACTCTCATATAAAGCAACGATATATAGGGAGTAAGGGGCGGAAGGGGGAGGGGAGACGGGAAGGAGCGAACCCACATTTTACAAGTCCACTTCAAGAAGGAATTGAATTATTTATCCTTGTCAAGTAGGGGAA